GAAAGGAGCCAGGGGCTCCTCCCAAGCCCATGTGACCCCTGAGGAACAGATCCTCAAATGGCCTTAAGAGTAAAAATAAATTGGCTTATCTAGGCAAACTAGGTGTTTCCTTAAACACCCAAAAGGAAAGTATAACCAAAGATTAAAGGGGCCAATATGATTTTTTAAGAGTCCATATGCATAGCTAAAGGCTACATAACAAGCACCAATGCCAGATAGGAGAGTCTGTCTTTTGCATTGCTGGCCAATGTGGCCCAAGGGACTCCCAGATAGTAACCCAGCATAGAACTGGGAAAATGAACAGCAGACCCCAATCTTATCTAAAGGAATATTGACAACTGATTGCTGCTAGATGAGGAACAGCTGACCTTCCCTAAAACAAAGACCTCTAGATAGGCTGACTAGATTCACTGGATGGACAAGTAGTGGAGAATAGCTTGGGGGGAGTAACACAGTGCACAGTAGCAGGGATGACAGAGTATAAGGGCTCTAGTCAGGGGAGGGAGGCTATGGGATGGTGCCATCTGGAAAGTGGGTGTATAGACAAATAAGATGGTTTGGGATGTTCTGTGTGATATACACACAAAAAAATCAACAAATTTTAAAAAATGAATTATATTTTAGGAAGAAGCATAAAATATACATCACATTAATTAGTAGAGGTGATAAACATTACCATTGAAATCTACCCAATCCCCACTAGAGCCCTTATACTCTGTCATCCCTGCTACTGTCCACTGTGTTGTCGGCACCCCCAGCCATTCCCCACTGCTTGTCCATTTGGTGAATCTAGTCAGCTTACCTAGAGGTCTTTGTTTTAGGTAGGTCAGCTGTTCAATTTTATGTCTTGCAGGGCTTATACTGAGCTCAATATTGTATAACTGTATAAATTTAAAAGTGAACCTAAAAATTTTATAGCCACTTTTGAAAGAGATGTATCTTTGCTCTGGAAACTGTTGTTGAGTTGTTAAAGCTGTAATGAAATGCTTCTTCTAAAAAAAAAATATATATATATATATATATAATTAAAAAAAAAGATGAAGACTGAATAACTCCAAACAAGAAATGTAACCATGGTATGAAAGCTCAATATGGCTTTATAAGTGCCTGCCAACATTGGTTACTAAGACACTATGGAAACTGTGTCAAGAGGGGAAACCTGTGAGAAAGCAGCAGGCTAACTTTTATTTACACTGTGTTTGGAAAAATTAGAAAAGTTACACTAGGAGGAAGGAAAGAAGGAAAGGAGGGAAAGGGAGGGAGGGAGGGAAGGAGGGACACACTACCCATTAATTTGAAAAATAACATGTGAAATCATCCTAATTTTAACAACAGAAAGAATATCTCTAGGTTTTTGATGCTCTTAGGGCACACCCTTACAATGCCCACGAGCTTCTCTGATGGGCATCCAGCTTACTTGATATGACCTGATCCCGATGTGGTGAGCTGCTCATCATCTTCAGGATTGAAAGTGACCTTAAAAACATCTTGAGAAAAAGCTTTTGTCCTCAGTGTGGGTATCTCTTCCTTCCAATTCCAGATGGTTATTGTGTAATCAGGGTTACAACCAACAGAGGCCAGCAAGGTACCTTCGCTGTTGAAGTCTACATAAGCATAGGCCCTCTCAGTCCCATCTGTAGAATAAGAGAGAGAAAGCTGAGCCTAGAGGTGCACACCTGTAAGCCCAGCACTCAGGAGGCTGGGGCAGGAATAGCATGAGTTCAAGGCCAGCCTGGGTGAGACCTTATCTCCTGTCCCAAAACACACACAAATATAGAGATAGAAATAGACATAAAGATAGAGATGATAGAGATAGAGATAGTGATAGAGATAGATGATTGATAGATGATAGATAGATAGATGATAGATAGATAGATGATAGATGATAGATAGATAGATAGATAGATAGATAGATGATAGATAGATAGATAGATAGATAGATAGATAGATAGATAGAGACAGACAGACAGACAGACAGACAGACAGACAGGCAGAGAGACACAGAGACACAGAGACAGAGCCCTTGTGATATGTCTAAATGCAAAAATGTAAAGAATTTGCTAAAAGAGGACTGGGGAGATGACCCAGTGGGTAAAGTGTCTGTTGTACAAATATTAAGACCTGAGTTCAGATCCTCAGCACCCAGGTTCGGCAATATGCGTCTGTAACTCCAACGCTGGGGTGGGAGGTAGCAGTGGGAGACAGGAGGAACATAAAGGCTCCCTGGCCGGCCAGCCTAGTGGGAATGCCTAACATCAACCTCTGGACTCCAGCGATGCATACCTTGACACACGCGGGGGAGGAAGGGGGGATGCGGTGTTCACGCATACATGGGAATACTCTAAAAGAGTACCAAAAAAACCACTCAATGTTCTTGGCTTTAGAATGAATTATATAATGGGAAGGGGAGAGTGAAGAAGTCAGTCACATTTTCCAGGAGAGAAAAAAAAAATACTTTGCATAGATTTCATCTTGTGAGAGAAAAACTCAAGCACTGAGAACTCAATCTACAAGTTAAAACGTCACTGAGAACACTACCAGAGCAAAAGCGACTACTAAAACTAACGACACAGAAACAGCACTGTAAGGTGATGCTGATGGTTAATTTTAGTTGTTCAATTAAGCAGCAATGTAGATGTTTCTGTAAAGGCATTTTGCCAACATGACTAATGTTTTTGATAAGTTGACTTTACAGTGTTTATCCTGGATGATCTAGGTGGGTTTTATCCAGCCTTGAAGTAAAACAGGAGATTCTCTGAGGAAGGATTGAAACTCTACCTGGAGACTGCCCATCAACTCCTGCCAGAGTCTGACTCACAGATTTGAGACTTACCAGTCTCCACAATATAAGTCAATTCCATTAAAAACGTGTCTATGTCCTAGTTTTGTTTCACTGCAAAACCCAAATTAATTGAATAATCGCCTTTCAGATGTTGCTGACCCTGAACATGGAATATTTTAGAGATTCTACTGGACTCACCTCGAAGGATTCTGTAGGGTCTCAGAGAAGAATACTCATAGATGATAATATTTGGAAAACTTCCTTTTTCAGCTACTGCAAAGTAAGTTTTCTGTGGATGAACCTACAAAAATGGAATCTCACTAAAATGTTAAAGAAAGATTTTTGTATAGATAATCCTATGCATGCGGTATTTGGTGGCCGTTATCATATAATTTGTTAATTAGAATGTACTTCAATATAAAATTCAAAAAATGGGCATTTGATAAATATTTAATGATAGAAAAGATTTGAACTGAAAACTAGAATTAAAGAAAAAATGTTAAGGTTTATCTTTATTAAGACAATCATTTTTAATGCTACAACGCTTAAATCGTCATATGGAAGCTATAACAGTTCGGATATTTAGTGTGACAGAATAGCTTGAAAGGCTTATCAAAACACAGATCTCAAGTTCTCCCTGCAGAGTTTCTGAATTCACATTTACATTTTTAACAAGTTCCAAAGTGCTGCTGTTGCTGGTGATGGTCTGGAGACTGCTCTTTGAGAAAAGCTAAGACAGATGAGTAGCCAAGTCTGTATGTAAGTCACTCTAAAATTTATGTAGAAAAATTCACAGAATGTGTCAGTCACTTTCTGCTGCTACAATCAAAACCTGAGACTCAGAGTCTATTTGACTCATGATTCTGGAGGATTAGAAATCCAAGTCTGCAGGACAGTATCTAGCAAGAGCTTTGTGTGCAGCATACCATGGCGGAAGTTATAAGGGCAAGAGAGGGTGAGAGCAAAGCACAAGGGGAGAGGCTGGAAAAATGGCTCAGTGATTAAGAGCATTGGCTGCCCTTGCAAAGGACCCCAGTTCAGTTCCCAGCACCCACATTGTGGATAACCACCTTCTGTAACTTGGGAATCTGACACCCTCTTATGGCCTCTGTGGGCATTGCATATACATGGTACACTTAAATACACACAGACAAAACACTCATACACATAAAATAAAAATAAATATATAAAAGTAATTTTAATATGTTCTAAAATGAAATGGAGGTCTTTTTTAAAGGTTAAAAAACTCATTCAATTTTATGTCTTACAGGGCTTATGCTGAGTTCAATATTGTATAACTGTATTAACTCAACTGTGAACCTAGAAACTTGCATCCACTGGTGAAAGAGATGTACTCTTGCTCTGGAGTGTGTTACTGAATATGTTAAATCTGTAGTGAACTGCTTCTTCTAATCACATACTTATTAAAAATTTAAAAATAATAATTAAAAA